TGATCCACAGAGGCCCTTCCCCAAGTATGATGCTCCTGGTCCAGCTAAGGGCTGACCAGGGTAAGGCCAGCGGGGTGATCCGGGCAGCCTGCAGCCCACAAAATCCCACCCAAATCCTTAGGCAGGAAAAGCGCTGCCTAACCATGCTGCCTCTACCCTGTTCTGGAGAAGCTAAAATGGATTAAACAGAAACCCACCTCTGATGGATTTCCTGTCTTCGGGCTCAGGGTTAGGCCCTAGCCTGTCAAGACCTTCTTGGGTCAGGAAGGCTTGGGGAGAAAGGGGTAGGGGTAGGGGAGGTGCTTCTTCTTCCTCCTTTCAGCTCCCCTCCTCCTCTACTGGGCCACAACTCCCTCTGCCTTCGAGGCAGTCTCATCAGCCCCCGGGCACCTGCCTGCAGGCATGGCACCTGCCCCTCCAAACAGAAGTGGAATCAGTGAACTCCAATGAGAGGCATGGCTAGCCCCAGTTCTCAGTAGTATTCTTGAGTGGAAATGCCTCCAAATTCTCTAATTCCTCTGCCATCCCTGCAGCCATGTAAGAGGAGGAAGGCTTACCAGTGTCTCTGCCCCAACACAGGAAGTGGAGATACACCCCCTTCTGACACTTACTGCAAGCTGTAACCTTCCCCAAGCCACTTCCCTGCCCTGGGCCTGTTCCCTCCTCTTAATAAGATGGCTGGGCTGGCCCATGGCCTGAGGCCCCTCCAGTCCTCCAAGCAGGATCCTCTAACCTGTGACCCTCTGCCCAGTCCCTCACTCCTCTTCCTCCTCAGGGAGCCCCTGGGGGCTGGGCAGCTTGCTCTCGGCCTAGAAGAGGATCTCTGCACTTGGGGACAAAGCTGGGGGTATCAGGGGGTTGGGGCCACAGAACTCAAACCAATACCCTGACCCTTCTTCATTTTACAACATGGTTCCCGAGTTATCAAATGATCACAGACTAGGCAGACAATCAGAACAGAGGGAAGGGGACTGGGGGGGGCAAAACAAAGGAGGCCCACTGAGCCCTGATACCAGACAGCATGCTCAACACTGCCCCCAAAGCGTCCTCAGAGCCAGAGAGCCCCAGGACAGGGGACACCCCACAGGCCAAGGGAAGGGCAGATCTGGATGCACTGGTCAGGCCTGTGGAGGCCTGCCCTGATGGAATGCCATGGTCAGTGAGACCAAGAGGGAGGTTACCTTGGGCAGGATGATGAAGAAGGCATTTTGGGGGGAAGGGGGGCAGGGGGAGTCAAGTGAACACTTTCAACCCCAAAGCCTCACGAGGCTTGACTCCATGATGGGGCTGTTAGCACATCTGCAACGTGTCCAGGAAGAGATGGCCCCTGGCCTCAAGCAAGTACCATTGGAAAGGACGCATACAAAACAAAACCTTTATGGGCCCCAAAGTGCTTTTAACAAACCTCCTACGATGAAAAGGGGGGTCCTGGCCTTCCCTGTCCTCAGGGATCCTGGGAGGAGCTGGGCATTAACATCTGTAAGGTGCTCTGGGACACCCAGCAAAAGGCTGACCTCATCTGCCAGGGAATGGGTCAGGAGTACTGGGAAGGCCTGGCCTTTCCTGGGGGACCCGACAGCCCCAGAGCAATGCCAAGGAGGGAAGACAAAGGCAGCTACATTAAGGCCTGGTGGAGAATTCTGTGGTTTTCTTTTGTTTTCCTTATCAGAAATCAAGTCAATGGTGAGACTGAGAAGTCCTGGGGAAAGGCTGGAGAGCAAAGAGAAGGCCAATGGGGAAAAGCCCCAAAGGTCCAGAAGTGCAGCAGCCCAAGGAGGCCCTGCGACCCCCCACAACATGCCCAGGGCTCATGGAATACACAAGGTTAGCATCTCTGCAGATCCTTGCTTGGCAGGATGCTCCATGGGGGACTGGGCACAGACCTACGATACACTTCAAGGACAGCATGTCCTGTTTCCAGTGGAAAGGAAACCACATATCCACATGCACACACGTGTACGCACACACAAACATGTAAACATACAAGGCAATGTGGGTCTTCCTTATTGTACTTCTGATTCTAATGAGTCAGCATTGAATGATGGAGAATGCATCCATGAGGCCTACAGCTTTCAATCCAATTCAGAGAGCACTTAGAAAGCACCATATCATGCCTGTTACTGGGCCAAGCTCTGGGTATGGAGAAACACAAATGAAACCGTTTCTACTCTCTCATGGTGGATGAGAAGACAGATATGAGTGGATTAGCCACCAGAGGTGGGAGTGCTCTGTGGGGGTGGGGGGGGGGGGTGGGGATGTGGGTGGGGATGTGTGGGTGTATGTGTGGGGATGTGTGTGGTATGTGGGTGTGTTTAAGAAAGAACTGCTCTCTGAGCACCTTAACTTTGAGGCTGTGGCCTGACTCCCTCACAGGGGGTATGCAATCAACCAACCTGAAGGTGGGAAGAAGGGAAAGCGGATGAGCATTTATAGAGTGCCTACCACGTTCCAGGCACCCTTCTAGGGGCTTTACAAATGTAATCTCCTTGAACAGAGTGGAAAGACCGGCTATGCCATGGACCCTCCTTTGGGGACTGTGATCTACGTGCACCTTCATGCATACCCTTGGACTCCAACACTGCCCTACATTCCGCCTCCATTTCTCCCTCTTGTGCAAGCTCCCACCTTACCCCCTTCTGAACACGGCTCAGCCCCTCAAGGTGGTTATAACTGAACTGCTCCCCAGGAACCCCCACCACCAGCTGAGCACGGGTCACTAGGAAACCTCCATCACTCCCACCCCCCAGCATTGTCCCTGCTCCCCAAGGGCCAGATCACCCCGGCATCTTTGGCAGGAGCACAGGAGTTAGTGTCAAATGACAGCCCAACCCCCAACCCCTTTTTGTTTTGAGTGGGACAAACTGAATCTCACTGAAGGAGCAGGCATGGATGGGTTGTGACAGATGGCAGAGGTCATTATATCATTTTCCCCAAAAAACATTCCCCTATACCCCTCCTACCTTCCCTCTTACTGTAGAGGGCACCACCATCCTCACAGCCCGACAGGCTCACACCCTAAGAGTCATCCTGGACTCCTCACTCTCTCACTCTCCAGATCCAATGCGGTGCCAAGGCTTGTTGATTTAACCTTTGAACATCCTAGCTTTCAGCTCTGCAGCATTTCTCATCTATTTCACCTCTGCAGCATCTCTCATAGATTTCACTTCTGCAGCATTTCTTGTCCATTTCACCTCTGCACCATCTCTTGTCTACTGCACCTTTGCAGCATCTCCTGTCTATTTCACCTCTGCAGATCTCTTGTAGATTTCACTTCTGCAGCATCTCTTGTTAATTTTATCTCTGCATCATTTCTCATAGATTTCACCTCTGCAGCATCTCTCACCTATTTCACTTCTTCAGCATCTCTCATTCATTTCACCTCTGCAGCATCTCTTGTTAATTTCATCTCTGCATCATTTCTCATAGATTTCACCTCTGCAGCATCTCTCATCTATTTCATCTCTGCAACACCTCTCATCTATTTCACCTTGCAGCATGTCTCCAATACACTCCCCCTCTCTCCTTAGACACTACTTCCATCCTAGTGCAGACCCTCATCTCCTCACACTTGGATTATTGCAATAGCTGTTGGGGGTCTGCCTACTTCTCCCCACTCTAGTCCATCAAAGTGGTTTTTAAAGTGCAGGTCTAATCATGTCACCCCCTCTAGTCAATAAATTCCAATGGCTCCCCATCACCCCCAGGCTCAAACATTATGTCACCTTTATCTCATCCTTTTTTTAATTTCTATTTTTATTATAAGTTTTAAAAGGTACATAATTATTAATAGAGCTTTTATACACCTTATAAATAGGTAAACATATAGAGGGCACCATAGTGCACAGAGCACTGAGCCTACAGTCAGGAAGATTCACCTTCCTGAGTTCAAATCTGTCCTCAGACTCTTACTAGCTCTATGACCTTGGGCAAGTCACTTAACCCCATTTGCCTCAGTTTCCTCATCTGTAAAATTAGCTAATGGAGGAAATGGCAAACTACTCCAGCACATTTGTCAAGAAAACCCCAAATGGGGTCATGAAGAGTCAGAGACTACTGAAAAATAACTAAACAACAAAATATACATATTAAGGGGTGCATACTCCAAAAGTTTTCATGGACGTGATATGTAAGTCAACAAATTGGAAGCCCATTAGCACAGACAGACAACCTGGTTAGTGAAAGTGGTTCAGGTGCCAAATCCTAATTTACAGGTAAGAGGAACTCCCCACTGCCCCCCACAGTAGGGCTAGGCCAGTGCTAATGACTGGGAAGTGAAGGTGCATGTTTGCCCTTCTCTCCTCCATACTGGTTGGCACAGTCGCCAGCTAAAGAGATATACAACTTGATTCCCAAACCAGCCCCATCCTGGCTGGTCTTGGGCTCATCAGGCAGAGACCTTTCCATGGACCCAATTGGCAATAATTCTAAAGGGATCCCCATCCTTCCCAGAAGATCCTGGCTCTAGTCTAGGTCCCCTGGACCAGGCCAGGCTTCTGAAGGCCCACAGATCTCTCCTAAAACCAAGTGCCTCATCTCCCAGTGTCATCAGGACATCAGACAACAAAAATACCCTCCTCCCTCCCTCAGCCCCCCTCCCCAGCGGCAGAGCGGCAATCATCATTTCCACCAGCCAGTGATGAGATAGAGGGCAAAAAAATCAGACTCAGCAGAAAAGGGCTGCAACGACATTAAGTCCAACCTCACCAGGTTATGGCCGAGCCCAGTGAACCCCAGAGATGGGCCATGATATATCCCAGATCATACAATCTGCCATGGGCAGAGCCTGAATTCCAAACCAGGCCTCCTTGGGCCCAGGCCAGAGCCCAGCCATTGCCCCTCAAGGCATGACCTTGACCAGAGACTCCATCTTACAGGAGATGGCCCCTCTGGTCATCTCCTGATCTCCCGCTCATTCCACTGGAGCACCCAGGGGACTCGAGGAAAGGACAAGAACAAAGAAGGGGCCTGCGGCTGCCACTCCTGGCCCCCCGCTCTCTTACCCTTGGGCATGATCTGGTGCATGGCAATGGACAAGAAGAAGATGGAGTCTCCATAGTAGGTCCCAGAGCCTGCGCTGAAGTGCTTCTGCATGGCCTCCACCACAGGGAACAGCTTCTCGGTCAGGACACCGACATCATGGAAGATAACCTGCAGGAGGAAGAGAAGTGAGATCCTGGGGGAGGAGGCGGAGGCTCCGCCCCATGTTCCAGGCCCTCCTTTGATTCCCTTCTACACCTCCCCATGAAGCTCCTACAGCAGGCCTTTGGCCCCCAGCCCTCCACCAGATGGTTCTGCCTAGGGCTACTCGGGCTGGCAGGACTGAACACAAGTTCCCAGCTCCTTCCCAAGTCCAAGCCCCAAGCCCAAGGCCTAGATCCCAGTAAGGACTTAATAAATGCTCATTAAATAAGTTGGGTTCCCCTCATCACCCCAAGGGGTTACCAGGCAGTGAGTGACACTGACCCCACCCGCCATCTGACTGGGAACTCTGCCCAACGAGATTACCACCAGATCTACAAAGAGATCAAAGAAAGGGAAAAATGTACAAAATTTGTACAAAAGTATGGTTCTGTGTGCTGGCCAAGAACTGGAAACTGAGGGGATGCCCATCAGCTGGGGAGTGGCTGAGCAAGTCATGGTATATGACTATGATGGAATACTATGGTGCTATAAGAAATGATGAGCAGGCTGACTTCAGAAAGACCTAGAAAGACTTGTACCGACTGATGCTGAGTGAAGTGAGCAGAACAGTGTTCAGGTAATGAGCTTGGGAAGACTCAGGAACTCCAATCAACACAATGACTGAAGGCCAAATGAGGAAACATCCTGCCCCCTCCTGCTAGTGACAGCCAGAGGGAAGACTGAGACACAGTCTCTGCTTGCTCACTCTCTCTCTCTCTCTCTCTCTCTCTCTCTCTCTCTCTCTTCTCCCCCCCTCCCCCCCCAATTCTATTTCCCAGGGTTCAGCTGTTGTCAGGCCTCCAGTGCCTGAGATAAGCACCTGGCACTGGCCCTCTTTCCTGGTCCAGACGAGGTCCCATCAGCCATGGCCGCATGTGAGAGCCACCGGCCATTGCCAGGGTTGGAATGACAAGCCCTCCTGGAAGGCAGCAGGTGTCCTACGAGCCCTGGGAGGAATCTCCCTGGGGTCTGCTAGGGGCCAGCCCTGGTCAGGTCCCCATGGCCATCTTGGAGCAGAGAAAGGAGAGAATAATGGAGTAAGAAGAAAAACAGAGCCTGGGAAATGAGGCGGGAGGAGGGGGCAAAGGGGCTGCTAAGCCCCAGGGTCAAGGCAGGCTCTCCAGAGTCGGAGCTGCCAGGCCCTCTCAGTTCAGGGGTACCCGGCTTGAGCAGAGCATCAATTAACATTTATCATCGATCAACATTTATTAAGCACCTACTGCATGCCAGGCACTGTGCATCCACCAAGTTTACTGTGGCATGAGAGAGACACAGAATGATACTGAGCAAGCCTTGCGTCGGGAGTCAGAGGACCTGGGTTCCAATCCTGCTCTGGCACTTGCCACCGGAGTGACATTGGGCTCAGTCTCCTCACATACAAGGGGATTGGATTGGAGAGCCTCCGAGGTCCCTGCGGCTAGCACGCACTGACCCTCCTTAATTTGGAGCCTAAAGAGTCAGAATTTAGGATAATTCAATCAGGGAAGGGTCTCGAAGCTTTGCAGCAAACCGGCTGAGTATAGTTTCAGGGCCCCTTTTCCCCACTCAAGAGCAGAAACATGTGCATGTCCATAGAATCACAGCACTCTTGGTACACACCCGCGTGCTTGGGAGCCTCTTCCCAGCCTCCCTGGGATGGGTGGGCAGCAGGCAGGCCCCTCTCTCACAGTCCACATGGAGAAAATGAGCCGCAATCACAGTGCCATCTTGGGCTTCCAAACTCAGGCGAGCAGCCATGGGCTAGCAAACAGGGAGCAGGGCAGTTGAGGGATGTCCAGGGGGCAAGGCCAGGGACACCTCTGCTACTTCCATGTTGGCTAAAGGCAGCTGGCCCATACAGGCTACAAAGAGGAATCCACACTGCTGGAGACTGGCTCCTCAGCCTTCCCATTGTGGCTCCCAACAGGAGGATCTGGGGGGGCCCCAGCAAGGGAGACTGAGGAACACAGCTGATTGCCCAGGCTCCTTGTTGGGGGATAATGCCAAGAGGGCATGAGCAGCTCAGGGCTTGAGATGTCACCCCAAACTACGGGTGCTCCCCAAGGCTCTGCCCATCCTGGGCCCTCTCCCTTCTCAGTGGCCTCAGGGGCTCCCAAGGGCCACGTCCAGCCCATCTCTCCCTTGTGTGTTGGTCCCGTATCATCAATTACCCATTCAAGATTTCAAACTGGATGGTGCCCCAAACTCAACCCATCTAAAACTGAGCTCATCCTCTTCTCTCCAAACAAGGGACTCTTCCAGATGTCCTGAATTCTATCAAAGGCACCACCATCCTCCCATCTTCCAGCTTGCCATCTCCCCCATCCCTCATACCAGTCAGCTGCTGAATCTTGACCCTCTCCTCCATCTGGACCCTTCTCCACTGGCACGGCCGCCATCTTGTTAGCTGAGACATCATCCCCTCTCACTTAGATTGGCCTCGCCCCACTCCAGTCCAGCCTATGGAATGGTGCTAGTTTTCCTTAAGCACAGATCTGACCATGTGGCCGGGTATTTCCCCATTGCCCCTAGGTTCACATGCCAAGTCTTCTACGGCTTTTCAAGCCCTTCCCAACCTTGCCTAAACTGCCTTTCCAGCCTCATTGGACTTTGCTGCCTTCCCTATAATTCAGCCAAACTGGCTTTCTCCGTGGTCCTCACTCATCTCCATGTCTTTGCACTGGCTGTCCCTCATGCCTGGAATGCCCTTCCTCTTACATTAAGGTACGGTTCAGGTACCGGGATCTCCCTCCACCTGCCCAATGCTAACACTAGCCGGTACTGAATGACTTTATGGGTGTTGTTTATGCCGCATTCATTTATACGTGTCCTTGTATTTGTGGTCTTCTCCTTGGAACGGAAGCTTTCTGAGGACAGGAGTTGTTTCATCCTTTGTCCCTGCACCGGCAGCACCCCAGAGAGGTCCTGGCACCAGCAGGTGCTTTGGAAACGCAGATAAGCAAAGTTGGAAACTGAGTCGCATTCCCTTCCTGGGTCTGCCCATAAGAGAACCAAAGGGCCCCGGGCCAGACCGGCTAGTATCCAGGATGCCCTCAGCAGGACAATGTCTATGCGGCCTTCTCCTGGCAGATTAACTCCAATCAGCACCTGAAAAACCCCGACCATGGGCAAGGCGCCTGCTGGGTGCTGGGGATTCTGGGACAAAGCAGAACCAAACAGCCACGCCCCACCCTTCCAGCTGCCGTCCTACAGAGGGATGCACCAGTGGGCCTTCAGTAATCACCCACCAAGGGCCAGGTCCACAGGGAGACAAAGCCAAGAAATGAAACATTAAGCCCTGTCCTGCACTGGGGGCAAACAGCATGTACACAGATAACCAACATAAAATATGTGCCACAAACAAACCTCATGGGGGGAGGGATGATCAGAAGCAGAGGCGGGCATGGGGGAGGGAGGGGAAGAAAAGCCTTAGGTGGGAAGGAACTCTGGAGCTGAGTCTGAAGGAAGATGGGAGGAGAGGAGGAAGAGCCTTCCAGGCACAGGACACAGCCTGGGCAAAAGCACACAGATCAGAGCTGGCTTGTCAGGTAAGAGGAACTGCAGGCGGGCAGGACTGAACTACTGAATATGTGATGTGTGCCCTCTGACCCAGCAATAGCACTTCTAGAGCTGTATCCCAAAGAGATCATACAAATGGGAAAAGGACCCATGCATACAAAAATATTCATAGCAGCTCTTTCTGTGGTGGCAAAGAACTGGAAATTATGGGGATGCCCATCCACTGGGGAATGGCTGAACAAGTTGTGGTATATGAATGTAATGGAATACTACTGTGCTATAAGAAATGATGAGCAGGCAGACCTCACAAAAACCTGGAAAAACCTATATGAACTGATGCTGAGTGAAGCAAGCAGAATCAGGAGAACTTGTACACAGTAACAGCCACGTTGTGCAATGACTGACTTTGATAGACTTAGCCCTTCTTAGCAATACAAGGGTCTAAGACATCTCCAAAGGCCTCATGATGGAAAATGCTATCCACATCCAGAGAAAGAACGATGGAGTTTGAATGCAGGTCGAAGCAGACTATTTGCTATTTTTTTCTTCTGTTTGGTTTTGTTTTCTTTCTAGTGGTTCCTCCTATTGGTTCTAATTCTTCCTTACAATGTGACTAATGTAAAAAAAAATAATATGAAAATATGTTTAATAGGAATGTATATGTAGAGCCTACATCAGATGGCACACCATCTTGGAGAGGGAGGGGAGGAGGGAGAGGGAGAAAAATTTAACACTCAAAAGCGTATGGAAGCGATTGTTGATAAATCAAAACAAATTAATTTTTTAAAAAAAGAATATGTAAGTGGGAAACAGCCTGGAACAAGCGTGGAAAGAAAGGCTGGAGCCAGGTGACCAAGGGCCAGAAACATCAAGTGGAGGATCTGAACTCAGGGCTACAAGTAGGGAGCCACGGGAGCTTCTCGAGGAGCAGAAGCAAATGGTCAAGTCTGGGCTGTGAGCAGGGCAGGGCCTGAGGCAGAGAGAGACCCATCAGGCGCTTCTGTGACCATGGCAAGTCACTAAGTCCGAGGGCTCTCTCGCAGAAAATGGAAACAATCGGAATTATTGCTACAGATCATTAGAACAGGCCATCTGAACAAAAAGGAAGGAGCTTCTCTCCCCATCTCTACTGTTGTGTGTGTTCTCCGGGGGACCCAGAATGTCATTACCAAGCGGACGTTGGTCCTGAGGAATGTTCCCACAGCCCGCAATGTGTGTGCATAAACCCCCAGTGAATGCAGGGTCTGAATCATTGGACAAAGGTCACTGGTATCACGCAGGAAACATCTTGTGATTGGTGGAATCAGTCACACGCCTTGGGCGTGTGTGTGTGTGTGTGTGTGTGTGTAAGCCATTCAGCAGAGAAGAGTCCAGGCTCGGAAGCTCTGTGTGGAGGACCCCATCCACCATGTGATCACAGCTCCTGATCCACTGGGAGAGAATGTACCTAGCTAGAAACGACACACACC